ATTTGTCCTTGTGAGCACTCCTTGCCCAGCGCTGCTTACCGCTTGCTCTGTGAACTGATTCCTAGCAAGGGGCTCCAGGGCAGGAACGCATGCCGGGCTGCTCCTATTCTCTACCATCCACTCTGGAGGAAAGAGTTCAGGGTACGGGTTGGACTGAGGGAAGACAGAATGGAAGTGTTCCTGCAAGTTCTTCACCTGAACGCATCACCATACCAGACCCTTGATCAGGAGAGTTGGAGGCAGCAGCCATGCTGGGCTGCGCGCGTGCGTGTGCACATACACACAACCAAACGCACACACACACAGACACCCACACCATACATGCACACGCATGCACATGCACACACACACTCATAGACACACACATATACACACACTCAGACATACACACGCACACGCACACACACAGACACCCACACACACACCTGCACACACATGCACACGCGCGCACACACTCATAGACACACACACATACACTCACGCTTTGGCATCCCGAAGCCCAGCCCCAGCCCTGGGAGGACACTGCAAGGACGACGGACTAACAGTATTTCCAGGTTGCAGGCACCTCTTGGGGGTTGCAATGGAATTTGGAATTTGGAATTTGGAAACTCCGAGGTTGGAGGTAGCAGCCTAGCGGCCTGTCAGAAGATTTTGCGTACTTGTTGGGTCCTCAGTTCCCCTGGGGGGGGGGGGGGGCCATCACCTCTGGATCCTTGCCTGAGTCCCAGGCCCCTGGGGAAATTCCCAGGCACAGGCGACATGCACTTTCCACAACCCGAGGTGCAACAAATGTGCCCAGGAAGCAGGGCAGAGCGCTGGCAGGGGCAGAGCCTGGGGCGGGGGGGGAGGGGGGGGGGTTTTGGCAGTACTTCACCCAGAAGTGCAGAACCTGGGGGTGAGGGGCAGAACCTTGTCTGTCTGGGGGGGGGAGGGGGGAGTGGGAGGAGGGAGGAGGGGAGGGCCTGTGGGCTCAGGGATAGGAAAATCTTGCTTTGTGGGAAGGGGGAGGGTGCTTACTCTTGGCTCTACTTAGGGATCACAATTGTTTTTTTAAATTGAATCACAGTGAGATAGAGTTACAAACTTCCACGGTTCCGTTTATGATTGAGCACCCATCCCTCCACCCAGTGCATTTTCCACCACTAATGTTCCCAGTATCCCTCCCGCCTCCCCTACCCCACCCCACCCCACCCCACTCCACCCCACCCCTGCCTCTGTGGCAGGCACATTCCTAATGACTCTTTCTCTATTTGGGGGCATTATGTTTTGAGATAGGGCTGGAGTATAGCACAGCGGGTAGGGTGTTTGCCTTGCACACAGCCAACATGGCCGACCCCGAGTTCCATTCCTCCGCCCCTCTTGAAGAGCCCGGCAAGCTACCGAGTATCTCGCCGGCACGGCATAGCCTGGCAAGCTCCCTGTGACATATTCGATATGCCAAACACAGTAACAACATGTCTCACATCTCGGATCTGTGATGTTTTGCAATACAGATACTGAGAGGCCATCAAGTTTGGTCTTTAGTCAACTTTCAGTACGGATCTTCCACCCCCAGCGATCCCTCCGTCATTAGGGATCACCATAATTGGAGGCGATCGGGGACCCACTGTATCTCTTGGTTTTCTGTAAATTTTATTTTACTGAAGAGCCTGATGTACAAAGTCATTGGCAGTTGAGCCTTAAACTTAACAAGATTCCACCACCAGCCAGTCAACCTCCCTCTGCCAGTGTCCCCGTGCTATGGGGACACTCCCCGCCCCCAGCCCACCCTACCTCTCCCACCGCCCCACCCCCACCCTTCTGCCCTCTTGACAAGGAGTGGGGGCCATGATGTTGGTCTACTCGGCTCCGGCTCCGAGTTTGTGGTTTAGAAAGAGCTCTCATTTCTCACAGCTGAGCCTGTGGTTTGGAAAGGGAAAGCCGAACCGCTCTCTATTCACAGGTTTACCCAGACCTGTGTCCTCCTTGTCTTTGTTTTCTCATTGTCCCTTCTCATCTGATCTTCCTCCTTGCTCCTCCTCCATTTCTTGCCTTCCTGTAAGCCCTAAGCACTGGCCTAAGCAGTGCAGTGACTGGTCCACCCAGAGCAAACAGGTTGCCAACAGAGTATGTGTCCCAGGGCGACAGCTCCGCTCCATGTCACTCCCTGCCAGAAAGAGAAACGTGGATAAAAATAGCAGATAAATTTGCCCAAGTGCTGACAGGGACACAGTGGCCCAGGAAGGAACTTCTGTGAGCCCAGGCTCTGCCCTTATTCTGCTCCCTGGACAAGAGGTGTGGGCGGTGTGGCTCTCAAGTCAAACCGGGCAGTGCCCGGGAGCCGGCCACCTGTGGCGGAACGACGAGGAGCCTTGGCCAGACTCGGGTGAGTGCGGGACGGGGCAGAGGGGGACCTCGCCCAGCTGAGCTGGGGGCGTTTGTGGGGGTGGGCGCGCGGGTTCTGGAGAAGTGAGGCGGGGGGTGGCGCGGGGGGGGGGGGCAAAGGAGTGCCTGCATTTCTTGCCTTTTTTTTTTTTTTTGGGCACACCCGGTGGTGCTCAGCGCTTAATTCTTGGCTCAGCACTTTGGAAGGGAAGGAGACCCTGAACCTCTTGCTTCATTGGTGTTTTTTATTTTGTCTTGTTTTTGTTTTTTTTTAGTGTAAAGAAACTTTTTCTTTTTTTTGGTTCACACCCGGCAATGCTCAGGGGTTACTCCTGGCTCTGCACTCAGGAATTACTCCTGGTAGTGCTCGGGGAACCATAGAAGATGGTGGGAATCGAACCCAGGACGACCGCTACTCTCTGTACTATTACTCCGGCCCAAGAAACTGTGATTTATAAAGTTATTGTTAGCTGAGTGTTAGACATACAATTTAACAATACCAGCATCAGCTTCCCTCCACCAGGCCCCCAAGCTCCATTCCACCCATCCCCCACTCCGCTCCAGCCCTCCCCCCCACACCCTCTTCTTTCTTGGTGGGAACGGAGCTCTCAGTTGTGGTGGTGGTTCAGAGCTCAAGTTTTTTCAGTATTATAATTCAGTTTAAACCTCTGTCACTGGTAGATTCGAAGCCCTTGAACCTCTGTTACCGATTACTTCCCTGTTTCATTGTCCTCCTTCCCCTCTCCGTTTTGTCCCTTTTCTGGACTGTTCGGTGAGTTCAAGCGTGGGTTATGGTGGCTGAGAACCACCTCCCAAGGCTGGCCGAAGGTGACTGACAAAAGAACAGGGCCAGCCACAGGCTGGTTGGTAATCAGTGACTCTTCATTCAAGTCTCACAGTGTTAATTATATAGAAATTGTGAAGGGTGGGGGTACACATAGGCGGGGTTGAACATTATCATAACAATAAGCAGATGTAAAGCCCTTCCTTCAGTGGAAGTTCTTCTAGGAGATTAACTCAGGGATAACTTCTCATCTGGGGGCTCAGCACTCTAGGTTACTAGGAGATCCATTCATCTAAGGGAGTATTGCTTTCTCCTTTCCTTCGTTAATCCATTTATTTCTATCATTTTGTATGGACACAGAAGAAATATATTGAGCGTAAATGGTGACTCTTCCTGGGGACATCTTGCTATGTATACCAGACCCCAGTCCTCAGGCCGTTAGTCTTTCCTAACCCCACCTGAGTCCTTATTCAGGTACTTCTTTTTGGGTCATGACAGAGTTTGTTCCATGACCATGCTCTTAACTTATTCTTATGGCACTTAGCCTGTCTCTTTTCGATGCCAGGGTCGCTTACAGATTGCCCTGGCTTCATCCAAATCTTTCGCCGGGACCCCTCCTTTTGGAGATGTTAGAAAGTAAGAGCAATGGAGGCTTAAGGCAAATAAATATGATGGATGCCCAGGAGTAAATATTCAGCAGAATCAGTTAGGTCCTGGACTGGAGTGATAGCACAGCAGGTAGGGTGTTTGTCTTGCACGCAGCCAACATGGCTGACCCGAGTTCGATTCCTCCGCCCCTCTCGGAGAGCCCGGCAAGCTACTGGGAGTATCTCGCCCGCATGGCAAAGCCTGGCAAGCTACCCGTGATGTATTATTCGATATGCCAAACACAGTAATAACTGTCACAATGGAGATGTTACTGGGCCTGCTCGAGCAGATCGATGAACAATGGGAGGACAGTGACAGTGAGTGACAGTGACAGTTAGGTCCCATGTTACAAAAGCATGGCATCAACTGTATTCCTGTGTCTAGACAAAAAGGACATTGCTAAACCATGCAAGGGACATAAAGTAAAAGGAAAGCAATCTAAGATTAGGAGAGTCTGATAGAATTGGTGTGCCTCAGGAGCACTGTGATGGGTGCAATAAGCCTTAGCTCCCTGCAAGAGTAGCAAAGACAGACCAATGTTATCCAACACTTTTCCTTATACTCTGGGCCCAAGAGTGACCGAGGCATCTCTCCTTGAATATATTACATTTCTTTGTCCAGCTATTCTCTAGTTCCTGCAAGTGAGTGAATGAATCATAACTTTGTCCAGCAGGGCTTCGATTTTACTATCACCCGTCTTTTCATTTCAGATCAGGGACTGGGTGTCTTGTGCTATGGTAGCATTGGGGAGAAGTTGGTGAGAGCACATGCGAATCACCTAGGGGGATCAAGTTTGGAAGGGCAGGGTAGAAGAGTGGGCCTGGGAGAATAGGAATTCTGGAGAGGAAGATGAGGGAAAGGAAGATGGGAAACAGTCTGGAGGAGAAGGAGCTAGGAGTGGTAGAAGAAAAAAACAGGAAGTGTGGAAGAACAGGAAGAACATCACGATTGCCAGTGATCTTACTTGGACAGGAAGTTGGTTGGGCAAAGGCTGGAAATGGGTAGAAGTTACTTGGGTGAATTTTGGTTGGAGCTCTTTTGTCATGATTAGAGCTCTTTTGTCATGATTATTATTGCTATTTGTGATGACTAACCCTGTTTGGCATGCTTACACCACACCAGTCTCCCATCACTGTACTTCCCATTGAATTTCAGTAAGTGGCTCTCAGACCTCCTTGGTGTGAAGCTTAAAACAACTGGGAAGATGTCTCTGGTGTCATCCATAGCAAAATTAGGACTGATTCTACTGCTGGTGGAGCCCAGGAAGCTTCTGGCAAGTGAGTGCCCAGTGATCTTCATACCTGGCTCTGGAGGAGGTGGGATTGAGGCAAGGGGCTTCACTCAGAGATCAGATCAAGTGAGGGGTGCCTGTCTTCACTCTTACAGAGGGGAGGGTTTGGTGGGATTTTCCTTACACCAACTGCTCTGCGACTCACCAGAGGCACCAGGCCTGGGGCTATGCTCACAGGTAATAGCTTTTCCTCTTCCACCCTTTCCTGAATCCTCAAGACCCATCATGCAAAGACCAATGGGTCTTTTTAGGTTGCTGCTGAAAGTCTTATGGATGGGGATAGATTTTAAGTCTGAGGAGAAGAGACACTGTGTTGTGCTTTTTTATGTCACAACTGGTAGAATTGGTAGGAAAATGTGCCTGCTGCATCTGCTTGGAGCCAGTACATAAACCTGAGGGCTCATGGTAGCAGCTGAGTGACCCCACACGGGTAAAGACCCAGAAAATACAAGGTCTGAAATGGAGATTCTGCATCTGCAGCCAGGCCCTGAAGGGATCCCTCGACCCTTCTGTTCTTCTCTCACAGATCGTAACTTACTTAACTTTAGCCTCGTTGTCAATTCCCAGTCGACACCTCAACATCCCTGGTGGGCAGTCAACGGCTCAGTGAACACAGTGCCTTTCCTTTCGTGTGACAGTCACAAGAAGATGGCCACACCTGTGGGTTCGCTGGGAGAGAAGGTGCAGAATACTACAGTGTGGACAAACATGCCCCAAACTCTAGTAGAAGTGTGCCAAAATCTCAGGGAGTTTCTGCTTACCAGCGGTAAGTGTGTGAAAGGGTGGGAGACGGAGGCATTGAACAAAAAAGCAGAAGGCCCAGCACTGATGAGGGAAGAGGAGACATGGCAGGTGGAATGGGCATGAAAGGAGGTCAATGAGAGGAGACTCCTGAGGCCCCCAAATGTGCAACATGGGACCTGTGGAGGGTGACAGTGCTCAGAGTGTGACCGATGACTCTCTATCGGATTGCAGGTCTCCGCACCCTGCAGGCCAACCTGTCCTGCGGTCTTGACGCTGGTGCATCATGGGCGTTCAGCATCAATGGACAGACAGCCCTCATCGACACCCTGAATATGAACTGCACAGACACTGGTCCTGAAGCCAGAAAGTTTAAGGAGGAATGGGAGAGCAATCATAAACTGAGAAAGAGCTTACAAACTACCTCCAGGGGAGACTGCATTGATTGGCTGAGGAAAATCTTAAGATCCTGGGAGGAAATGCCGGAGGGTGCAGGTACCTTAGCAGGGTGGGAGGGTGTGGGCGCTCTCTTTAAAGGCCTGTGCCTTCCCCGAGAGGATGGGAAGCTGATATCTTGGTGCAGAGTCAATGCTATCATAAGATTTCCCACCATCCTTCCCATTAACGATCTAGTCATCCTGAATTAGGTAATACCCCAAACTATTAAAAAACAAAACAAAACAAAGCACTGTGCTCTCATGCTTTCTATTATCTCTCTTCCTCTATTCTCCTTGATCCTGAACCAACACAAAATCACTTCTAATGCTTTCACTCTCTTCCTCAGACAGAACTAAGTGCTCCCAAATTCTGTCATCTTCCCACAACAAAATTTCAAATTGATAATAATCAATTGGATACTGACTGTCACCCTCATACACATCTGAACTCCATGTAAGAATTCTACTGCTGAATCACCCATGCATCTAAATCTGAACTCCATGTGAACACGGTACAAACCCTGTTCATCTTTCGAACCTAATAGAGTGCCTGTCATTGAAAGAGCAAATCTGAAGGTGACAGGTGCTGCCTGGCAAAGTAGGTTTAAAAAAGGTGTAATTTGAGTTCTGACATGACTTTTCTTTTGTGTTTGTTTCAGCATCACAATCAGAGGACTCAGTTACACACCAGAAACCTTCAGCCGCTACCTCTGTAGTGGGAAATTTCCCAAGGATAATCATCCTAGCAATCATCTGCACAGTACTGATGGTGCATTTGTTATAGATTTGGAATACTGGACAACGGCACTGTGCAGAACACATGGGAAGTGGATATCTAGAAACATGGTAACTAAAAGAATGGTAAAAGAATGGATGACAAAAGAACAAAAGCAACCGATGTTGGCTTGAATGTGGGGAAAAAGGGACTCTCCTTCATTGGAAAGTTATGATCTATATTCTTTTGCCTACTTTTAGCCCTCAGTTCTTGTCTAGAGTGATCATTTCCAACTGTTATTGTCATAGTAGCCCCTTCTCTGTCCTAACTGCCTCTCCCCCTTCACCACATCTGTGACAAACTTCCACCCACGAGCCAGTTCTCCTGGCCCTCATAATTAGATGTTTTGATAAAACAGACTTCCAATTTGGAGCTGGGAGATAGTTCAGAGGTTTAAGTGTTTGCCTTGCACATGGCGGACTGATTCAGTCCTTGGTTTGTGGTCCCCCAGGGACCACCAGGTGGATCCCTGAGCACAGAACAAGAATTGAGGGCTAAAAGGAATAAGCCCTGAGCACAGCTGGGTATGACCTCAATACCTAGATAAATAATAGATAGAAAGATAGATAGATAGATAGATAGATAGATAGATAGACATATTTATTGATTGGTTTTAGTTTAAATCATGTATTGTAAGTATAATATTATTTAAATAATGTTGTATTCTAAGTATGATTTAAGACTGGGCTTTATTTAGACATTTATATTTCATAAGAATACTAAACCAATATTTAGCTTGTCAGAGTAGTGAAACTTTAAAATAATCATATTTAATTTTTAAATAAACTGAACTAAATCCAAACTATGTACAGAATTCCCTAAAACAGAACATTAAGGAGCAATCGTATCTGTGTTAGAAATGTACTATTTTAGCTGAAAATATGAATTCTTGATAGAAAGAACAGTACAACTCTTCATAGCTCAATGCTTAGAACATTTCCCTTCCAAACTGGTGAGGAGGAAATTATGGCATAGTCCAAGTTCCCACCCTGAATGTACACTGATTCCTTCTGTGATGGTTGCTTCATTTCACATCAGTTGTCCCACAGAGGCTTCCTTGTGTATCTAAGAATTCCATCCTATGCACACATAAAAATTCCAGAAACTTATTCCGCCCCTCTCGGAGAGCCCGGCAAGCTACCGAGAGTATCCGATATGCCAGACACAGGAACAACAAAGTCTCCAATGGAGACGTTACTGTGCCTGCTCGAGCAAATCGACGATCAACGGGAGGGCCTTTACCTTTACCTTACCTTTAAACTCTTTTTAAAAAGGGTTTAAAAGGGGCTGGAGTGATAGCACAGTGGTAGGGCACTAGCCTTGCACGCAGCCAGCCCAGCCGAGCTGGGTTCGATTCCTCCGCCCCTCTCAGAGAGCCTGGCAAGCTACTGAGAGTATTCAATATGCCAAACACAGTAACAAGAAGTCTCACAATGGAGACGTTACTGGGCCCGCTCGAGCAAATCGATGAACAACATGAGGACAGTGAAACTCTTTTTTATTGCTTGAGGGTCTGTGATTTATAATACTGTTATTGATGGTTTCCAATGTACATAATTCCAATACCACACCCTTCCCCAGTGTACCCACTTCCCTCCCCCAAATACCCCACTAATTCTTCTAGACTGTTCCAGAAATTTCTAAGAAAAAAATTGAAAAATCTATTAGCATGCTAATATTGTTTATTAAACCACAATTTTACTGTTTTTGTCAAAACAGGATTTTAAGCTATTTTTAACTAACAACTTCAAATTTCATGATATCAGAAAAAGTGTTTGTTTCTTATTAATAAAAATGAACTTGGACAAAGGAAAGAGTATCCCTAAATTTCTCGAAAAACTACTAAAATATGTATAAGCTGCCATGTCACTGCATCTCTGCTTGGCATAAAAGCAGGCCCAACTCCCTCTCTCCAAAGTTATCCTCCAGCCGTGCCAGTGACATCCTTCCCGACTTCATTTATTTTCATGCCAGTAAAACCTCTCTTTCTACTCAGTTGTTCTTGTGCCATTTGGGGCAATGACAGGGTGGGGGAACAAGTAAAAGATGGTATTGCCAGGGCCACAAATGTTTTAATTTCACTTATCACTTAAGTCACTTAACTTCCTGTTAGTCGTCGATTTGTTCGAGCGGGCGCCAGTATTGTCTCCATTTGTCCCTGCCGCGTGCTAGTGTAGCCCAATGGCATCTGTTCGCTCTGGGAACATGAAGAGCATCAAACCGATCGTTCATGATCTTGATGAAGAAATCTGACCATCTGGTAGGTGGGCGGCCACGCGGTCTTTTGACATCCCATGGAATCCAGTCGGTAACAGCTCTAGTCCAGCGGTCGTCTTTAAATCTCATTACGTGATCAGCCCATCTGATTTTTGACACCTTGGCAAATGAGACAGCATCCTTGATTCTTGATCATCGACGGATGTCGGAACTCCGGATTCTTTCTCTCATTGGAGTGAAATGTGATATTCCAAGCATAGATCTTTCTATTCTTCTTTGGGAGACCTGAATAGCATTCTCATCCTGTTTGCGTAGGGCCGAGGTCTCTGAGGCATATATTAATGCAGGAAGAACAGTGGAATCAAAGAGATGTGCCCGGAGCCAGAGGTTCTTCGTGCTCTTAGCTATTTCTTCGATGTTCTTGAAGGGGTTCCAAACCACTCTCTTCCTTCTGCGCAGCTCGGGTGCCAGGTCATTTGTCATGTTGACTTCTCGACCTAGGTACACATAACTGTTGCATTCGGAGATGGCCGTTGAGAGCGAATGGGGCATCAGGAACAAAGCTGTTTCTCATAAACATTGTCTGCGTAAGATTCAGCTCTAGTCCTACCTTTCCACACTCACGGTCAAAGTCGGCCAGCATTTGTGCAGCTTGGCTGATGTTTGGTGTTATTAAAACAATGTCATCAGCAAAGCAGAGGTGGTGTAGTTGCCGACCATCTATCTTCACTCCCACTCCTTCCCATTCCAGTTGTCGCATGATGTTCTCGAGGGTGGCACTGAAGAGTTTCGGTGAAATGGTATCACCCTGCCGAACCCTTCTCTTGACATCAACGATCACTTCTTTGTAGAATGGTGAGATCCTGGTACTGAATCTGCAATACAGCTCACGGAGGATCCTGATGTATTGGGCTTGAATGCCCTGATTGGCTAGGGCTTCAATGACCGCTTCCGTCTCAACAGAATCAAAGGCCTTCTTTAAATCAATGAACGTTAGACAGAGCAGCATCTTGAACTCCTGAGAAACCTCAATGAGCTTGGTTATCATGTGGATATGGTCGATTGTGCTGAATCCTTTGTGGAACCCGGCTTGCTCGCATGGTTGTCCTTCATCTAGTGTTCTGCCAATCCTATTTAGGATGACTCGAGTGAACAACTTGTAGATGACAGACAATAGGCAGATCGGGCGATAGTTGCCAATGTCATGGATGTTTTCCTTTTGAACAGTAGTATGGTCCTGCTGGTTTTCCATTGGGGTGGAACCTTGCATTCAGACAGGTAGCGAATGAAGAGCCGAGCCAGTGTATTGATGAGTATTGACGGCAGGTTCTTCAGGTGTTCAGGTCTGACCTTGTCTGGGCTGGGTGCTGTTTGCTTCTTTACCGACGAATTTTAATTTAATTTTTATTTATTTATTTATTTATTTTTTAATGAAATGACGTTCATTCCAAGCTACCCTGATTCAGACTCAGTAGGCAGGTGGGCAGACCTGGGGGTCCCTGTGCAGGAGGAGATCACTGAAGGGGCTCAGGGAAGAAGGGGAAGGACTGGCATCAGGGGCTGTGACACCAGACAGTCGTGGCCCCTGCTGGCCCATGTGGGTCACTGCACTGCACTAGGGATTCTGTCCCAACTCTAGGAACCAGCTAGCCTCATCCATGTCTAATTTAGCATCCTAGATTCAGGAAACTTGATTCAGCTTTGGGAGATGATAGGAATCCAGGAATTTATCGATTTCTTCTAGATTCTCTTGTTTCGTGGCATTCAGACTTTCAAAGTAGTCTCTGATGATCTTTTGGATTTCTTTGGTTTCTGTTGTGATATCCCCCTTCGCACTTCTTATTTAGTTTATTAGGGTTCTCTCTCTCTCTGTGTGTGTGTTTCTTTGTGAGTATTGTGAGTGGTTTATCTATCTTGTTTATTTTCTCGAAGAACCAGCTCTTGGTTTCATTGATCTTTCGAATTGTATCTTTGGTTTCCATGTCATTGATTTCTGCTCTAAGTTTTATGATCTCTTTCCTTCTGCCTGATTTGTTCTTTCTGTTGATCCTTTTCTAAGGTCTTGAGCTGTGAGATCAAGTTGTTTATGTGCATAATTTCTTCAGTCCTGAGATATGCTTGCAGAGCTTTAAATTTTCCCCTTAATATGGCTTTCGCTGCATCCCATAAGTTCTGGTAGCTCGTGTCTTCATTCTCATTTGTTTCCAGGTATCTTTTGATTTCGTCCTTGACTTCGTTCCTGACCCACTCGTTGTTCAGCATTGAGTTGTTTAATTTCCAGGTGTTTGAATTGATTCTCTGTGTCTGTGTGTGATTCACTTCTATCCTCAGTGCATCGTGGTCTGAAAAGATGGTTGATACTATTTCTATCTTCCTGATTCTGTTGAGGTATGTTTTGTGGCCTAGCATATGGTGTATTTTGGAAAATGTTCCATGCGCACTGGAGAAGAATGTGTATTCTTCCTTTTTTGGGTGTAAAGCCTTGTATAGGTCTATAAGCCCTCTCTCTTCTATTTCTTCTTTCAAAGCCATTGATTCCTTGCTGAGTTTTGTTCTTGTTGATCTATACAGAGGTGATAAGGTGATGTTGAAGTCTCCAACTACTATTGTGTTGCTAGCAATGTCCTCCTTAAAATCTCTTAGCAGTTGTTTTAAATATTTAGCTGTTCCCTCATTAGGTGTGTATACATTGAAGAGTGTGATTTCCTCCTGTTGTACGTATCCCTTGATGAAGAGAAAATAGCCTTCGTTGTCCCTTCTAATCTTTTCAACGTGAAATTAATGTTGTCGGA